CGTATTCGCAAAAATATTCAAAATTAAATTTCCGAAAAAAGGGCAAGCACGATCAAGACTTTTGTAAAGAAAATATTATTTTTCCTTATTTGGTCAAAGAATTTGTAAATCTCTATCATTTTTATATTCGGTTAGCTAAGTAAGAAAATATCGAGCGAGTCGCTTCTGATTTTCATTTCTAAAAAAACAGAAATTGCGCACGTTGTCGATCACGACGGATAATTTTGATTTCGGGGAAAAAATATATAATGTCGCGAAAAAATTTCGATTTAGTTTTCCTCGACAAGAGAGAAACTTTGATGTATCTCGTATTCGCAAAAATATTCAAAATTAAATTTCCGAAAAAAGGGCAAGCACGATCAAGACTTTTGTAAAGAAAATATTATTTTTCCTTATTTGGTCAAAGAATTTGTAAATCTCTATCATTTTTATATTCGGTTAGCTAAGTAAGAAAATATCGAGCGAGTCGCTTCTGATTTTCATTTCTAAAAAAACAGAAATTGCGCACGTTGTCGATCACGACGGATAATTTTGATTTCGGGGAAAAAATATATAATGTCGCGAAAAAATTTCGATTTAGTTTTCCTCGACAAGAGAGAGACTTTGATGTATCTCGTATTCGCAAAAATATTCAGAATTAAATTTCCGAAAAAAGGGCAAGCACGATCAAGACTTTTGTAAAGAAAACATTTTTCCTTATTTAGTCAGAGAATTTGTAAATCCCTATCATTTTTATATCCGGTTAGCAGAGTAAGAAAATATTGAGCCAATCCCGATTTTCATTTCTAAAAGAATAGAAATTGCTCTTCGTATCGTTGCGCTTATTATGATATTAGGGGAAAAAAATTCCGTTTGCGTTCCTTAATAATGCACTCCGTATTTAGTACTAAATAACGCGGTAATACAGCAGTGATCGCAAATATTTTTCACGATACTACCGTGGCGTTGCTGAAAGTAACTGTATGAAATATTCAGCGATTAGAAACATAATGTTAGGGCGCGGGAATCGTTGCATTTTATCGACATCGCGCGCCCAGCGGTAACCCCTTTATTATTTCACGTTCAACATATAGATTGGAATCTGTAATGTTAGCCTAAATCCATTATTATCACACACATCGTACACTCGAGCGCCGTTAGAAAAATTACAACGTTGAAACATGCAACAGGTTCACGACGCGTCAACCCCCTTTTTTGTGCAGTTTGCGGCAAAATTAACGCAAGATTACCATGGCAAATATCAATCGGTCTCAATTTTTTTCTTTTTTTTTAATTCGCGATGACACCTACCGCCATCCACTACAATGCCCTTTCAAAAATTTCATACACATATACACACACACACACGAGGGAGAGGGATTGAAATTTATCACTTGAAGATTATTCCTTATAAACGCGGGCTCTTTCTTAAGGTATTACGATAAATCGTGAACGAGAGCGCGACGATAAGCGCGACCGCGACGAGATAAGACTCGGATTTTCCTCCGGTGGTAATATCCGGTCTGACGCGCTCCTTTTCCTGGGAACTTACGATTCCGCGAATAATCGGTGCGACGAGCGACCGCTCGACAGAGAGAGAGAGAGGGAGAGAGAGAGAGAGAGAGAGAGAGAGAGAGAGAAAGAGAGAGAGAGAGAGACGGTACGGACCGGCACGGTTGGCACCTAAGCGCATAGCTAGTCGACCTGCATCCATGGATATGCAGGATTCCGACGTCGATGGACCTCATACCACTGGAATGCACTCAACGAGCTACAGGCTCCGCGTACTCCGCAGGCCCCGGCTCTCTCTCTCTCTCTCTCTCTCTCTCTCTCTCTCTCTCTCTCTCTCTCTCCCCCCTCTCCCCCACCCCCGGACTCCCCCGTCTTCTTCTCCTCCTTCGAAAGGCACGCGCTTCTTCCCCGGCATCTTCTCCTTTCCATTTCTCCGTCTCTCTCCAGCTTCTCTTTTCGGCCTTCTTAACGCTTACCAGTTACCACTCTGGATATGTTAATGGCTTCGGTCGACCACTTGGGTTACCAAGCGCGAATCTCTTTGCCGGGAGTCGAGTTCTCGGCGGAATACTCTCGAGCCATTGAGCCGATCGATCGATCAATTGATCATCGGAAGTGAACTTTTGACACGTGACGCGCTGGTTTATTATTAATAGTCGGTGTGTATATTGTAAGATTGAAAAATGAGTTATTTCAAGCTCAGCCCCTTGAGCGTAAATATATATTATAATAAACCTACCCCCTTATCGAGTCGCTGCTTTACTTTCATACGATTCCTCCTTAACTTGAAAGACGGTCGCAAAAATAATAAAGAGTAACTGGAATATAAAAGCATAAAATTTCTCAGTCGAAAGAGTTCGTAGGCTTTCACATTTAGAGATACGCGTCCTTCATCGATACAATAGGATAACCCGAAAGAATCGCGAGGGTGGCCACTTTTCGAAATTACCAAAACTGCTGCAATAAGGGTAGAAGAAACCGTCTATTTGAGCTCCGTTACTTACCGTTCGCATTCTCGAAACGCTTTCAGTAATTTCGAAAAATGGCCCTTTCTCTTCGATCGATCTGTCTCACTCTACATGCGTCGTATCGAGTTGCGTGGGCGTATGACTTTCGGAAACAATGAAGAATTTAAAGAATTGACAACGAGCGAAGGGCGCAGCCACAATGCGGACTCTGCGGGCATTCCTTATAATTACGTATCGGTCCATAAATATAGCAAAGCCCCGCGAGCTTTATTGCTCTTCGATTGCGCTCGATCGATCGATTATGGATAAATAGAATCGCGGCGCCGCGTCGCGAACCATCTGACGATTGATAGCGCGCCGACGTTGTTTCCTTGATAAAATGCCACGGCTTCGAACGCAACGGTATGCGCGTCTTATCAGCTTGGAATGTGCGCGCGCACGCACTTCGATCGCCGATAATTTGTCCTTCGGAAACGCGGAAACGTCCCTCGCGTCAATCGTATCGATCCTGATCAACGCGTGCATATAATTATCGAGCGATATAAACGTAACCGAGGAATATAAAGGATTCTCAGTGATCGTATTTTTATCATCAATCTCGTGTATCGAAGAATTTCTTCCCTTATTAAGGCTAAATTTGTTACTTTAATGATTAAAATTGTCGTCTGATGATTAGCGATGAAAAATTTCATATTTTTATACAAAGATGTTAAATGTGTTCGATCGGGGAATTAATTTTTGGATGCTTGTGCTTGATTAAATTATTGTTGCATGAATTTGCAGAGATACTTATATGAATAGGAATGAAAATCCTTTTGAGTTTCTATTGTAAAAAATTGTATAAAAAAATTTAAATATCCATTGTTGCCGATTAGACATTAAAAAATAAAGGCGAAATGCGATCTGCGGTAAAGAATTTAACGGCTTTTCATATAAGGAGCGCAAATAAGCCTCGTGTTCCTCCCACACTCGCGATGGGATGATCCAAGAAGCAAGTTCCTCGTGAACTACATACACACATATTTCGTTTCTCTCGTGCGTGGGCGACTTTCTGTCGACTCGCAATCCCACCTTTGTCCTATACATTTCCGAGAGACACGTTTATATTATCGTTGACGTCATCCGTGATGCCATAATTGTCCAATCAGCTGTGACAGTCGCGAGGGTCGGAAGTTCCCAGGCTATCGCGATTTCGCGATCCATTCACTTTTTTCCTACACGACCAGATAATTGTCGCTTATACGATCGCACATTACGATTGTCCGATATCGAAGGGTAATCTGCATTTTATAATCTTTGCTAGTTGATTCGTTTGGAAATAGAATCTTTTTATCTCTTATTGCAATATTATTTCGATATTCGCTGATTAATTTATTAAAAAGAGCCCAAATTTAAATTCTATAGAAAGCACATGGTTTAGAAAAAAATTTTAAAGATATTTTACACGCGTATTGATTGATAAATCTCAATCTGAAAAATTCAATTCGAAATAATTTTATAAATTATTTAAGAACATTTAGAACATGAAAAAGGCGTAGCTTGTGTGTGAATATTATTTAGAATGATGATTATTTATCAAGGACTGTTTGAGTGTACAAAAATATTAAATATATAAATATAACCAAAATAAATTATTTACAAGTTGCAAGAAATTGCTGATGATTTCTCTGAATATTTTCTTATATATTATCGATAAAAGTAACGCGAGCAAGATCAAAACAATTATTTTTAACATTTACATAATAAAGTTATTTAGTCTAAATTCAAATTAAAATTTGGATTTATATTAATATAAATTATTATGTAAATGCTTAGCCCTAAATGTGAGAAATTTTTTACTAATTTAATTGCCTCCTATACATTGTATCATACTATAAATTACAGCAAACCATCTTCTTGTTAACGAAGATCCTACAAATGTCCTTTCCCCCCACAGATTTTCCTCTATGATCGATCCATAAATTCCGATAGACTATTTTCTCATAATCCAGATATAGATGCGCGCATCTATCACATGTCGCAAAGCGTGGGAGTAACCGAACAAACAATGCACGTAACCCTGTAACTTTATTTTCGGATATCTCGATCTCTGTGTCTGGTCGATATAAGAACTCGGAATATCCGCTCGGGCGATAAAGAGTCGCTTTTAACCTCGGAAACTTTCCACAGTTACATTTCGGCGGTCGGATAGAAAATGAAATAACATTCTGATACAAGTCAACAGAGTATCCCGCGTATCTCTCTCCCTCTCTCTGCCATTTTCAACATCCTCCTGCAAAATTATAGCCTTGCCACAAAATTCTTAACGTAACAATTACCTTAATAATAACCGTATTGCACGCGTAATTTAAATCTAAATCTAAAATAAGGAAACTTCAATTCCTCTTGACATTCTTAACAAGATTTAAATCGAGATATTTCAGAGAGACGAGAATATTAATTTGCCATTTTATCAGCTTTTTTTCAAATCGCGAGAGAAATACACAAATAGATACGCGAGACGGGAGGTTGACAGGACGCGTAAGAAAGGAGCCTGCTTACCTCGTTGATGTGTTTGTAGGTCTTGATGAGGTCGACGCTGAGTTTCCTGAGGGGCGCCGTCGCTGGATCGCGAAATCTGTGGGGTATCCTGGCCTGCATGGCGTGAATGTCCGAGGGGGTCTCCTGCGGGACCCCGCCGGCAGCCCCGCCGCCCGTGGCACCAGCACCACCGCATACCGCGGAGGGCATGGGCTCCTCGGCCACCAGGCGCCCGTAAAGGGGCGCACCGCCGGTCCCCGTCCTCCCGCTCACTGAAAGCATCAAGAGACAAACGGATCAATGCACGGCTCGACGAAAAGTACTCGCTTTTCGTAGTACACCTTACTTCATCTTCCGGAAACGTAACTTGTTATCGTGTTACTTGGCCCGGAAAGGGAGAGGGTGGATATATTTCATGGGTTTGTTTGATTTCATTTGATCTCATCGACTCTTAAGAATGTTTACTTATTTTCCAAATATTGAGAATTTAATGAAAATTCTACAGAAGTTCTTTACATATGTTCAGAATCTTTAGTACAATTTTGAAATCGATTCACTAAAGCGGTCACAAGTTGCAAGGATTTTAATTTGCACCGAATTAACATGTGTTCTTAGGGAAAACGTATAACCACGTTGGTTCAAATGACAAAAACACATGGAAATAATATTCAGAATTTGTTTAAAATTTGCTTACAGTTATCTCTTTAAGTTAAACGCGGAAGAGAATTTACCGGAGGATTGCAAATTCCAGGAATGCAAAAGAAAGATCTATTTATATCATAGATCTCGATATATCATCGAAATATTCGCAATTTGTCTGTGAGTTATTTTCATCGTTTCTTAAGGATGTTTTGTATCTATTTTCAAAATATTGAGAATTTAACGAAAATTGTACAGAATGTCCTTACATATGCTTAGAATCTTTAGTACAATTTTTAAATCGATTCACTAAAGCGTTCACAAGTTATAAGGATTTTAATTTGGATCGAATTAACATGTGTTCTTAGGGAAAACGTATAACCATGTCGGTTCAGATGACAAAAACACATGGAAATAATATTCAGAATTTGTTTAAAATTTGCAAAAGTTTAGATACAGAGGAAATATTTGGTCAAATAATATTATACAAGTACTAATTGGTTAAAAAGATATTAAATATAATTCAATGAAATTAGCCATGTATTTGACACAAGGCGAAATTCTCTGCCAAAAGTGAATCATTTTGATTAACAAAATTCGGAATATTTCGGTAAAAACGCAATAAATATTAAAAAATACATCTCTGCATTGTAAGTAAGATCAAATTGTAATATTCCACACAATTTCTCATACTCAAAATACATCAAAAGTGGATATATTTGTCAATATTGATTTTCAACTACTTTTTCGGATTGTACATACAAAGCATCCTTAAAGCATCCTTAAAGATTCGATTTAAAGAAGATTTTAAATAAATAAACTTGTATTCACAGATATTTATAGAGATTGCTTTTTATCAAATTGTGCCTTAATTTTAATATTATTTGTCTTTTTTAGTTTCTTTAAGCAAGTAATTCCTTTTAAAAACAGGTAAAAATTGAGAAATTGATTATCTAAAATCGACATATTTTATACACTGTAGAAATATTATAAAGATATTTATTCTGTAATAAATTATTTAATTATATGTAAATGTATTTCAAATTAAAATAATTTTTTCTGTTTTATAAAAACAACCTTTGATAAAATAGCATATTTTAAACTCTGACACTTTGAAATATAAAAATCAGATTATATCAATGTACCAAGCAGTTTCTTTTAGAAATAAACAATAAACATAAGAGTAAGAATTAAATAGATTATGATCATAGAAATAGATTATTATAGACATTCTTATTTGAATTAATTGTAATTTTCGCTAAAGAAAGTCACAGAAAAAATTGTTCAAGCTTCAGAAACTCGATGCAAATCAATCCAACATGTAAATGAGCAACCAATGAGCCATAAGCTTCTGATAAGTAAACAGACCAAGTTCATATCACTTCTGATAAAAAGTGCAGCGTATTAACTTTAATCGCCGAGAAACAGAGATATATCGGTTTATAAAATCTATTTTGGTATTTTTCTTCTAATCTATTTAATCTAGAGGCAAGTTTATGTAGAAAGATTAGTAAAATTTAAGATTCTAATCGTCTATATTTATATAGGAAAATCTTGTTAAAAAATATTATTTTTTGAATTCTTATTTATTCTGTATATTATACAAGAGAAACCTAATTTTTCACTTGTAACACACATCTTTCCCTATTTCTTAGTTGTGTTCCTTTAAAATGATTAGCCTCAGATCGCGTGAAAAGTTATCATCCGTCTCTCATGTTATAAAAACCGTAAAAGAGCGCGGAAAAAAAATATAAATAAAAGATTATAATAATATATGTTATTCAATGTTGATTTTTGAAATCTGCATCGTGTAATTGCAAAGGAGAATTTGATTGCATCGTTGTACACATCACGAGAAATAGATCAATGTGTGGCCGCAAGTTTATAATCAATGATCAATATTTGTATGTTTGCTGCTTGATGTTGACGTTTATCTGTTAAGTTTATCATTAGGTAATTAGATCCGCGGTATTAATTAGGCAACGTCAGGTAACCAAGTTGCAAGTTGTTTTGATCGATGCCGACTTTTCAGATTAATGCTGCAGCGAATAAAATCCTGTTACAGATAATGTACAAACTAACGCAAAAATAAATCTAATTTGACTGCCTAAATGTGTGGGCGTGTTTGTTTACACAAGCCCATAATTACTTTTTACTCATATAAATTAATCATGAATAAGAATTATCGCCAATAAAAAAAAAAAAGATTAATAATATGTATAAATAATACAATGAAAATATCACATAAAAATAGCGATAGAAATTTTACGCACATACGTTTGCGATTATAATAATTCGCAATTATATTTTCCCTTAATTTCAACATTCTAAGAGATGCAGATAAAATAACGATCTTGTCGGTGCGACACTTCTTCTGACGAGAGGATGACCGTTTATCCAAACATTTCGCCTGTTTTTATCGTCGTTAAAGCCGCTACGCGCGACGTAATTAGCATTGGAAAAATTTCGCGGAGAGAAGTATCTCGCGTTCGTAAATAAATATGCGATTAAACGCGACACGCGCCGCGCAAACGGAATCGGTTTTGTTGAAATTACTCCCGGATAATCCGGTAATAATACCAGAGTTACCGGGATTAAATGCGCGCGCTTATCTTTTTGCGCGAAGATACCTTTACACTGGCGATAGAGCTTTCTTCTAAACTGTACGTGGTTAATAATCTTTCCCTTAAATAACGCGCAACCTCACACGTCATTTCGATACATTTTTCCCCGATAAAAAAAATCTAAGTTTCTTACAAATCACCGCGATTGAGCGGCAAATTGTCATGTTCCTTGAAAGATATAGGGGAGGAAAAAAATTGGCGTGTTTATCGTTTGAAAGAGAATCGCAAGTTCGAGCTCCTAATCGAGTTGGAAGCGAGGCGCGGGACCTAAATCTCGCGGAAGTTGAACAAAGAGAGAGAGAGAGAGAGGGAGAGGGAGAGAGAGCGCGTATGCGGAAGTGTCGATAATTAACAACTCCGTCAGAGGGATAGAGTGTGCACCGGAGAATCGGGACGACGGCAGTGGCGGGCGGTCGTTAATTTTGATGTACGACTCTCCGTCCGTCCGTCCGTCCGTCTCCGTCCCGCTTCGGCTCTCGCTGGAAACATTACTGTCATTTTAACGATCCTGTTAGGCGGCGCAAACCGGCTTAACGCCGACCGCTTGATGCCGCGTTAAACAACTCCCTTCTTGGACTACCCTCGTTTCGCGGTCCTCACGGCATGATCGTAACGCGTCGAATTTACTTTTACACGGCTTGTTAGTCTCTCTTCAAGTGTGAATACATATGAAAAAATTAAAGGGAAATTATCTCCGATACCTCGAAAATTGAGCCTCGTATTGCCACTTATTTTCGTAAATTTTTTTCGCAAGAAATATTTATTCTCTCTCTTTCTTTTCTGATAAAAAATTTGTTAATTTATGGAACGAGAGATAACTTTCTCTTTTTGAAAAATGCGAATGTTTCATTTACTTCGAATAGCTTTAAAGTTCCTGGAGTCCAATTATATAAATTCATCTTCAGGATGTCTGACAAAATAAAGAATGCAACAATTTTAAATATTAAAATATCAAATTATATATATGTCTTCATTAATTGTTTACTAGTACGTCTTGCAAACAGTATATTTTACAATAATATTGTTTTGGAGCGTGGTTTCACAATTTATTAAATAAAGTTTCACCGCGCTTTATTTGCAGTGTATTTCGATAATAAAATGAGGAATCAAAAGAATGCGCACAACTCGGCTCGAACAAATGAATATGTGATAGATTGAGACAACAAATGAATGGACAAGTGTATAAACGAATGAATGAATGAATAAGCAATAGTGGATATAAGCGAATAGAATGCTTATTGCACTTTATACGATACTCTTTGCGAAACATTATAGAATATTTCCATACAAGTTTATCTTTGCTTAAAAACGCGATATCGCTCGTAATATAAATTTATTATTATTACGTAAATGTGAGATAAAAATATTATTCGAAATATCAATATCCATATCTTTAATCGTCGTGATATAAATATCTAATGTTAACAAAAAAGAAAAATATATTTTATAATTTAACGTGAACGTTTTGTTTACATTTATATAATATTTTATATTTTATTTATATTTATATTCTATCCAGTTTACTTATATTCGTATTCATTTCTTTTAAATTTTTGTTATTAAGACTAATTTATTTTTTATTTAAAATGATTAAATAATCGCAAGTCGATCAATTCTTTCTGCAAATTTACAAAATCTAATGATTACCTCATCAAAAATCAAATAATTGTAAATGAAAAAGTTTTTCGTTCAACTTATAAATTAAAATTGTTGTACACTTATATATCTAATCGCGCAAATGACATGACAAATTTGCACCTGAACGCAAACTGTGAGTATAATTTTTCACTGAACTGCTCGCCTGAGGTGAATAATCATTAGACGAATTGCTAATCGATAGACAAATTTAGTCAAGATACAATCGAGATGTGTCTATACGTCTTATAAATTACGATGTACATTTTCAACAACCTCGAAGAAACGAAGAGATCAACATCAACGAGAAGATCAACAGAAAGGCAATAGTCAAATTCTCCATCGTGACAGACGCGAGAGACAATAATTCACCC